GCATTTAAGATGACTGAGATTATGAATCGACATTGGTAGGGAGATTTCTACAAAACTGAAAATACAGTCTGCCAGCAATATCTGACCTACGAGGTCCATAATCCTGGAAAAACTATTTTTGTCCCCAGAGGCCTCAGACCTACTCTTTTTGGGCCTTTTGAACATCTGCAACTGGACTTCATTCAACTGCCACTTAGCATAGGTTATCATTATGTTCTTGTTACTGTATGTACGTTTTCTGGATGGGTTGCAACCTATTGCAAGGCTGATGCCTACATGTTGGCAAAGGAACTGTTAGAAAATGTGTTTCCTCCTTGAGGTATACTTTCCACAATCTCCAGTGATCAAGGCACTCACTTCACCGGGCAAATTATACAAGCCTTAATGAAAGCTTTGCAAACTTTTTGGAATTATCACTGTTCTATCATCCTCAATCATCAGGCAAGGTTGAGGGAACTAATGGGATCCTCAAACTGAAAATTTCCAAACTTGTTGAAACCATGGGACTCCCCTGGCCTACGGTATTGCCTTTGGTCGTCTTGACTGTTTATAGTACCCTCCCTTGGGAAATATAAACTCACTCCACATGAGATAGTCACTGGCAGACCATTGTCTATGGGTATACAACCTTATGCTGATCCTTTGTTGTGTCATGCTAGTATTACCAGTTACTGAGGGTCTTAAATGTCCTATGGTCAAGCCTATTATCAACAGGTCAAAGAAGCTTTCCCAGATACCAGTTCAAAGGATCCTGTTGGTCACAGTTTAGTTCCTGGTGCCTGGGTATTTTTTTTTTTTTGAGAAGGATTACCCCTGAGCTAACATCTGTTGCCAGTCCTCCTCTTTTTGCTGAGGAAGACTGGCCCTGAGCTAAAACCTGTGCCCATCTTCCTCCACTTTATATGTTGGATGCCTACGACAGCATGGCTTGATAAGCAGTACGTAGGTCCGCACCCCGGATCAGAACAGGTGAACCCTGGGCCGCCGAAGCAGAACATGCAAACTTACTTCATCGCTGCACCACTGGGCTGGCCCCTGGTGACTGGGTACTTTGGACACGTCATCAGAGAAAGAGAGCCCTTAAGCCCAATTGCAAGGGACCTCATCAAGTACTCCTGACCACTGACACTGCTGCAAAACTAGAAGGTTTTGAGCTTTGGATATACATCTCACAACAAAAGAAGGTTCCACCTGACATCTGGTCCTCTACAGACACTGGAAATCTCCAAATCAAATCAACAGGGATTAGAAGTAGCCAACATTGAGACAGATTGTTTCCACCCAAGACTAACTGAACATGGAACACTTTCTTCTTTTTTTTCTTTTCTGTACTCTGACTTTGGTCTGGAAAGATAATGCCCCCTCTTCACCCCTACATTTCATGGGTATGTAGATTGTAAAAAGTTAATGCTAGCTTGACACTTCAAGATAATCTCCAATGCTTACAACCTTGACAAAATACGGACTTTGAATAAGAGAAGCCTGCGAATTCATCCTACTATCCTTGTCACTCAAATGTGGCCTCAAGTGGTTCATGCACTTGCCCTCTGATGTGGGATGTGACATCGAGGAAAGATCCTTCCTGGCACTAAGGGAGAAAGGCTACTGAATTAAAAAAACCTGACTCTTGATCAGTGATCCTTTCAGAGAAAAATCTTGATCAAAAGGGGAGAACTGTTAAAATTAATAGAGGAAGGAGCTCTCATGCCCCACCATTTGTGGTCAATTACCCCAAACAGGAAGACATCAATTACAGACCCAAACAGGAAGATGTCAGTTAATGACCCCAAAAGGAAGAGACTGTCCCTTGTATTCCCAAACAGGAAGTGCAACTACTTTACGACTCCAACAGGAGAAAGGAGGATTTCCTTCCTCCCCAGCAACAAGTCCAGCCAATGGAAAGTGCTACAGCTCAGTCAATGAGAAGCAGTCATCACCCGAATGTTTACTTTCCTCCAATGAACTCTCACCTTTTCCTTGCTGATGATTTCCTTCCCCTCCTTAATGTGTAACACCTCAGAGTATCTCTCTGCTTGCCAGAAGAGATGTTGCTTGATTCATGAATCATTTAATAAAGCAAATTAGATCTTCACATTTACTCAGTTGAATTTTAACACAGGAAAGTTTTTTTTCATGTAAAATTCCATTTTAAGTCTGGGTGTAGTACTTTTGCTAACTGCTTTTGTGTTTGTCTCCCTGTCATATTTATCATCTCATTCCCATTATGAAATAGTTTTGCAGTTTAGAGGGCTTGGCCCCAACTAGACAGGCTCAGAGATGAGTGCTGATGGGGCAAAATTGATCAGGGTAATCTCCTCTGCCGCAGGGATGAGTTCAGGTAGCCCAGGCCTGAGCCAATCAACATTCTCCTCCACACAGAGGTGGGACAGGGTCATTGTATGAATGTCAACCAGCAGAATTTCGTGGTCCCAAGCTCTCCTTCTGGACCTGAAGGAGGAAGCATATGGTCTCTATTACTGCTGGCAGCCATCTTGTGTCCTTGAGGGAAGCTGGTCTTCAAAGGATGCTCCAAAGAGGGAGAGGCAGGCTAAGAGTCTTGAGAAACTGACATGCAGTTTAGAGGGGGCCACTCTTGAAGATGTATCTCTGCACCTTTACATTATGTAAGTCAATAAATGCCTTTAATTCAAGCCAATTTCAATTGACTTTACCGTTATTTGTAAGTGAAAAATAATCCAAAATGATATATTTACTTTTGGACCTCACATAAGAATCCAAATTAATAGTAGTCAATGTTAGTGTAGTCAGATTGGGATTATTCAAGAAGTTTATTTAGCATCTCATCACTTAGTTTACAATTGACTTGATACACTGTAGATACTTTGGGTTTTATGTTCTAATTAATTGACTAATTCAACAACTGTTTATTAATATTAAGCATTCACTATTTCACTATCTGAAAGTCACTGTGCATATAGTAGTGATAAACATAGTTTCAGTACTCAGAGAGCTCAAAGGACTAGTTGAGGAGGCAGACAAGAATATCAAAGAGGCATGCAAAAGTTAAAATGCGAAATCAGAAAGAAGGCAAAGGAGGGATATCTAATTCAGTATGGTAGAGTGTTGGATAAGAGGGAAGGGGAGGGAAGGACAGGTGTCATTAAAGACTCCTAAGAAGGAGTTACTAGCTTTTGTTTTTGCGCCATGGACCTCTTGGCAGTATGGTGAAACCTAGGGGCCCAATTTCAGAACAAAGTTTTTAAATATATAAAATACTTGGCATTGTAAAGGAAATTTAGTATATTGAAATAGCTATCAAAATATTTTTTAAAACAAATCTGTGCTCTGGTAATATATGTGCTTCTTTATTAACTCATTGAAGAACAAGATCTAATAGTAGGTGTAATTACTAACTTAATTTTGAGGTAGTGATGAATGTAAATGATATTTTGAGTTATCTGCAGCAACTGCTATAGCTATTATTATTGTAATTATTATTATTACCTATAATATCTTTTTTCCTTTGCCTAATTGGCCAACTCCCACACATTCTTTAAAACCTAGTCCGGATATTACTTCCTCCAGAAAGATTTCCCGATCACTAGACTTTCATTTCCTCCAGACAGAATTAACTTCCTCTTGTATCTTATATTGGGATCGCATATAATTTCAATTCTTGTTTTTTTCACAATGTATTGTAATCTTATATTTCTAAATCATTTTTCCCTATTATCCTGTGGAGCCCTTAAAAAGTAAGGGTCGAATATTATTTTTGATGTCTATAGTGTTTGATTTTACTGGGGGGACACTTTGGAGTTTCCACATCTGTCTGTGGGTGGCAGCTACTAATCAGGGACTTTTAAACTCTGGATCCAGTAATAAGACACTTCACAGATACAATGGTAGACTATTTGGTGTAGGGTTTTTTTTTTTTTTTTTAAGGAAGAGGTGAACTCATGCCTCTATCTTTTTTATTTTTAGGGAAGATTAGCCCTAGGATAACATCTGTTGCCAACCTTCCTCTTTTTTTTTTTTCCCCTCCCCAAAGGCCCAGTGCATGGTTACTCTAGTCATAAGTCCTTCTAGTTCTTCTACATGAGCCATGCCACAGCATGGTAACTGACAGAGAGGTGGTGTGATTTGGCAACTGGTAAGTGAATGTGGGTCACCAAACCAGTGACGCGCCGAACTTTAACCACTAGGCCATCAAGGCTGGCTCTGGTGTAGGTTTTTGATAATAACGGAATGCTGGAAACTCTCCCTATACCCATCTTTTACATATGAGTGTTTTCAAAGTTTTGTTCCAGACTGCATCTTAATTTCTCACGCTATACACTCTTCCTTGAGGAACTCAACGACTTCTGTGGCATCAGTTACTGTGCAATGATAACTCCTGAATCTTGACCCAGATCTCTGTCTCCTAAGGTTCGCTTCCAAATATCCAAAACGTATACCATCTAACTCCTTCTGGCTGTGCAAAAAGAACATTTAGTATGCCAAAATTGAACTACTTTTTTTTTTTTAACTCTTCAACCTTCCCCAAACTCACTCTTTTAACTTGGTTCATGCTCTCATAATCTCTCATCACCTGAATTACTGCATACTTCTTTTAAAAATTAATTCATTTTTTCTGATTAATAAAAAGTAATACTCTGTCTTTGTAAAGAGAAATTCAAATAATGCAGGGAATATATGATTTAGCAATCCCATCTTCCAGAGATAACCACTGTTCACCCCGAGTGATGTGTATACTCTACCAGAATTGCACATGCATGTATTAACATGCTATTATTTGATTTATGCAGTTGTTTCTCAGTTTTCTTATGTCTGGAGTTGCCCCCTTATAATCTTTTTGTTTGTTTGTTTGTTTTTGTGAGGAAGATTGGCCCTGAGCTAACATCTGTTGCCAATCTTCCTCTTTTTTGCTTCAGAAAAACTGTCCCTGAGCTAACATCTGTGCCAGTCTTCCTCCATTTTATGTGGGATGCTGCCACAGCATGGCTTGCTGATTGGTGCTAGGTCTGCACCTGGGATCCAAACCTGTCAACCTGGGCTGAACTCGGGGCTGCCAAAGCAGAGAGTATGAACCTAACCACTATGCCACTTGGCCAGCCCCTGTAATCTATTCTTGATACACACTTTTCTAAAGTATGAGTGAGTGAGGGACTTTTCTAAAAGGCAGATCTCATCACACTATTCCCCTGTTCAACATCCCTAAAAGGCTACCCATTTCTTGTAGGATAAAGTCAAGACGTGGAGCATGACATACAAAGGCCTTCACAATCTGGTCTCTTCCTATTTCTTTAGCTCTGGAGTCAGACCTGACTGTGCTACATTCCAGCTTTGAGGCATTGGGCAAAAACCCAATGTTTTTTTCAACTGTCAAATGATGATTAAAAATAATTCTTATCACAAGTAGATAATAGCATATAAAGTGCCAAGCATACGGCCTGGTTTAGAGTTAACAATAAATATTGGCTATTGTGAAAGAACAAAATGTTTTTGTATACACGCGTTCAGTCTCTCTTGCTTTCTGAGTAGGATCCTTGGAGGTGCTAATTGGGTAATGCTTGAACATAGCTGGAACCACCCCCACTCCCACAAAAACAGAAAGAAAAGGAAGAAGGGAAGAAAGGGATTGATTTGAATAGATTTGAAAGAAGATGGGAGGTGAAAACCTGAGTGGCAGGGGAGGGTAGAGAGAGGCCAGTTCCCACAGCTATTTTCTTGCTGGGGGATGGAGGTGGTAATAAAGTTTGTTTGAGAAAGAAGAGATTTGAGAGAAGCAGCTGTCAGAGTAAATGGAGAGATAAATGGATTAAGATCTTTAGGACGTTTTGCCATCTCCCCTCCCCTTTAGCTCCCCATAGGTTTAGTTATTTTGTCAAGGCTTTATGGATGTCAGATGTACATTTCTTTAGAATTTGACGCTGGGTCGAGGTTGGCCATGAACTAGTCCAGTTACACAATTATTTGCCATCCTTCCGCGTCCATTGCCACACTTTGACGCCTGCCCGAAATTAATTTATCCAACAAATATTTGACGGACCTGTGCTCTCCCAGTCTACTGAAGAGCTTGTTTTCCAAGGTCAGCCCCTAAACTTTTCTACGGTGACTTTTCCGACGCTCCAACACTAAAATTTGCTTCTTTTTTGTGCCACCAGCTCTCCGCATCCACTTCATTGTCGCAGTTAAATATTGTACCCAACTGTTTGACTCTCTTTCCTCCTCTACTGAGCTCCTTGGAGCCAAGAGTGGCGTTTCATAAACCTACCAGCTCGGCGTACGGCACGAAGTAGATGCTTAGTAAATGTTTATTGCACAAGCGTCCCGTGCATCTCAGTGACATCACATCCTGCGCGCGGCGGCGCTGGTCTGCACTCCTCTGCTGGGGGCCCAGAGGTCGGAGTGTTTAAGTCATTGTTTATACCGTGCATCGAATATCTCAAACGCAGGCTAAGGTTTCAGACCGCCCACAAGACGCGCGGTCACTGGCAGGCAGGATCTCGGTCTCCCAGCTCAGGGGCCGCCGCTTGGGGCGGACACACACAGCCTGCCTGGGAGGCGCCGGCCCTCGGCTTCTCTCCGGAACAGAAGGTGCGAGGGAGGGAGCGGGCAGCTCACTTATCGCGGTGTTTCCTTCCTCCTCCCTCCCGGGGCAGCTCTCGCGAGAGAAGCCAGGGGAAGATGGCCGTGCCCTGTTTTTCGGTGTGAGGCAGTGGGGGCTGCGGCGGCGGGCCAGGCATCCTGGTGTCGTGGGCGCCTGAGCTCTAGCTCCCCCAAGCGAGCGCGCGTCCCTTCGTGCCTAGGCGAGAGCCGGCTCCTCTTCCTCCGGGAGATGCGTTTGTCCCGGGCTCGGGGGCGCTCTGGGAGTTCATGCTGCGCCGGAGGCTCCCGGCCGCCGCTCTAATCGCCTTGTGCCGCCGCAGCGCCCGCTCCGTCGCCGGCGGTGAGCCTCCCGGACCCCGTCTCTGCCCCTGGCGGCGATGACCGGGGAGAAGATCCGCTCCCTGCGGAGGGACCACAAGCCCAGCAAAGAAGAAGGGGACCTGCTGGAGCCGGGGGATGAGGAAGCGGCGGCCACCCTCGGCGGCACCTTTACCGGAGGCAGGATCGGCACCGGCGGCGGCGGCGGCAAGGGCGGCAGAGCCTGTCATAAGATCTTCAGTAACCATCACCACCGGCTGCAGCTGAAGACAGCTCCGGCCGCCTCCCCTGCCCCCGGCGCCCCGGCCCTGCCGCTGCACAATTCCGCCCTGACTGCCGCCTCCCCGTCCCCGGCCCTCCTAGCGGGCACCGGCCCCCTCGCTGTCGTCGCAGATGGAGGCACTTGCCCCGCTCACTACCCGGTGCACGAGTGCGTCTTCAAGGGGGATGTGAGGAGACTGTCCTCTCTCATCCGTACGCACAATATCGGGCAGAAAGATAATCACGGTGAGGAGTGCTCGCCCCTCTCCGCCTCTCCTTCCCCGAGCCCAGGGTGTGCCTCCCGGGGCCTCGGGAATCCAACCTCCTTTCCAGCAGACCCTTCTTTCCCCTCCTTTGCCCATCATCCGGGCCAAGTGCCCGTAAATCATGACCAGCTCAGTAATAGCATGCCAGTGGTCAGGGGATTGGTGCTTGTGGGTGCAAAGGAATGTTTCTTCCTTGCCCACTTCAAAGTTTCCTTGAGGAGCTGTTTTGTTTATCTTTGAGACAGGCCTTCCATGTGTTGATTCTCGACTATAGGAAATTTTAGGTTGCCTCTCATCCAATCTGGGCTTCTGTCTTTGTTTATGGAACTATATTTGTTTTCTTTCTCTCCCCCTCTCTCACCTTAGGATCTTGAATTTTGAACGTATAAACTGCCCATCTCCCTTCATTAATTACCCAGGTATCGATCCCAACTTGACTGCAACTCGTTGTGATTTATCCCCGCGAGCGGGTTGTCTGTTTCTTTTTTTCTGCTTTGAGGAAACTTAGTTTGATACAAAGTGTCTACACTTTGCGTTTAAAATAGAATGTAGAAAGCTTTGATTTCTGAAAGCCACGCAGTACGAATTTGTTGGCATTTGGTACCTAGAGCAAGTAAAGTGACTTCTGAGTAGCTAAAATTTTGTTAGAGTTTTGAGTTTTTCGCTTGTTTTACATGGATAATTGCTAATGGTAATGTTTCATCTTGATGACTGTTACTAAAAATAGTACTATGATTTTTTCAAACGTCATTATAGCCTTATAACAAAATATTTATTGTTCAAGTACTGTATTTCTACTTTTTGCTTTATCAACTCATCAGCTGAATTTTTTTTCTGTCTTTAGTTCTCAAACGTAATGTGATTGAGTTGACTTTTAAGCAACAGTAAATTTATTAATGAAAACTAATGTAAACATTGACATTTTCAACATTTAATAGATTGGACACTTTAAACTGAATAGTTGGCACATGCTGTTGATAGCTCTGCTTTTAACCGAAAGTGACTATCGTATACCTTCAGTTAGGACACACTCAACTCTGTGCTCAAAATAATACGATGCATTAATGAAATACTTGTGGAATAAGCTCCCTTGACTTCCATTGGACTCTAGGCTTCTTATCTAAAATTAGGGCAAAAATTGATATAAAAAAAGAGTAAGATTTCTATTGATTGTATAATTATCCAACGACTGCACTTGTATTCTGAATTTACAATATTCTAACAATAACGCTACATGTCTTTTATCATAAATCCCCAAAAAAGTACCTGAAAGCTGCAACCAGTTTTTATTTCTACATCTAATTTATTTAATCATTTTACTGTTGTTGCAACAAGCATAATATTATATATTGATAGTAATTATATTCTAACCCTTTGGGAAATAGTTTTTAGTGGGAGATGTGTTGTAGCTTTGGGTTGTTAATCAATTATTAGGAGTTTTTCAGATTTGGCATTCATAGTAGCAATATATATGTTTCACTAATGGCCATTACCTTTAAAAATATAGTTACATTACCTTGAAATATCCCTGAAAAGAGATAAAAGATTCCTTTTGATGATTAATCCCCTTTGAAAGAAGAGAGAGATGAGTATGACTGACAAAGTGCCACAGTATAGTCTGTTAGAACTAATTTTCTTGGTTGATCACAGACGGTACTGAACTGTAGGATTATTGGGCTTCTGTGTTCTGTAATCCAACATTTAGGAGTTGGTTTGTTAAGTACAAATTCTGTTCAAAGTAATTAGAATCCTGAATACCATTAAACTCTTCTTTTTAGCCCACTGAAATTCACTTTTTAAATTGCCTTGATATAGCAAATGTTTTCATGTGCTTAGCTGCCCTTTTATTGTTGATATTTCTGATGAATGTAACCGGTGGTTCCCATACCTGTGGAAAATGTAGTTGCTTTTTCCCCTGAAATTTACATTCTCATCTCCTGCAGGGACATCTCCTGGGAAGAGTAGTGTCTGTTTAATGTGTTACTTCTTTAATCCTTCTCCCCCCCCCCCCCCCCCGTGTAGTTGTATAATTTCCCTGTTATATTACATTACTTTTACTCTTGATATTTTACTAACCTGGATACTTTGTTTACATTTTAAGAATATTTTTCCTTTCAAGTTAGAAAAAATAAGTGCTTTTTAAGTCACCCAAACTAAAACAGGCTATTACGTTTGGATTGTTATGACATAAGTGCATAGCAGAATTGTATACTCATACAGATGCATAGCAGAGCCATACAGTCATATAACATCATGTCCCATGGCTAGTTTTATATTCACTGTGGGGATTCCTTCCACACCTGTATGATTATGATGATGATCATCATAGATACAGTTTATTGAGGGTGTCAGTAATATGTTACGTGTTGACATACATTATCACATTTAATTCTCACAATAATCCTGCAAAGCAGTTAGTTTATCCTTATTTTAAAGATGAGAAAAATGAAGCCTAGAGACATAAGGAAACTTTTCTAAAGTTGCATACTTAGTATAAGTTCCAAACCTGGGAATTTAGCTAATAGCTCGGATTCCAAAGCTCGTGATTAGCCTCTTTGTAAATATTTCTATTGATCAGGACCCACTACAGGCAAAGAAGTCAATTCTAATAATGCGTATGTGGCAGTTTACAGCAAAGTTCTTTAGAATATATTTTTTTATTTGGTCCTTCCAATACCCCTGTGGAGAGATTCTGCCATTGGACAGGTCTCAGAGTTTTCCTGTAGACCCCAAATCTCTGACTCGTTTGTGCTGTTCCCTTTTTATGTAATGACACAGATAAATGGGCTGCCTCATTCACATGATAGCCCTTTAGATACTTGACAAGAGCTGCCATGTTCTCCTTGCCTTCAGGTTAAACCTTCCTAACTTCTGTATCCATGCTTCAGATGACATGGTTTATGAAGTGCTTAGAATGGTCCCTGAAACATAGTAAATACTATGTAAGTGTATTAAATGAGTAAATGAAAATCTTCATCATCTTTTAGTGAAACTCTGGTTTGTTAATTCTTCCCTCTGAGGATGATGCCCAGAAACTTAGTGCTGGAGCTGTAGTAGCCTCATAAGCAAAGACAAAAAGGAGACTATTGCTCTAAGCAATACACATTTAGTAATGTGTCTTACTAAAAAACGCACGTTAAGTAATGCATTGCAAAAGTATGTTAATTTTTCAGTACTGTTTTTCTCAAGTGATTGGCTGGCTTTCTGTTCTGTCCCTTCTTTGGTTTATTTTCTTAACCTCAAAATGGGACTTTACATTTATTGAATTTTATCGTGTTAGATTTGATCCTTTATTCTACCCATCTGGAAAGTATTGAATCCTGATTTGGTCACTGTTTAGCTCACTATTCATTAGCTCTTTCAGTTTTCAGTGGTCTTTGATTTGATAAGCTTTTTTTGGTGTTGTGTGTGTGTGTATATATATATATGTATGTATTTACAAGTTATTGTCAAATTGAGTAGGAGCAAGGATAGAGCTTTTTGTTTTGTGGTAAAATGATGGTTGAGTGTGAATTGCTTTTTCTTGCCATCAATTATTTTAAGGAATATTGTATTTGGATCCAAACATATCTCTTGAAATATACGTTAAATACAGTAACAGCCATAACATCATATATATACTGTTTTCAAATATGCCAAATGACTGTGGCTCTTTGGATATTTTGGGTGAGGAAAAAGATACCCTAACCCTAACCCTAACCCTAATCAAACTTTATATCTTTAGTGTATCTCTGGTTATATAGTACCACTATTTTCTTTAGTATAGAGTTAAAGTTTAAGTCTAAGCCTTTGTTTTACGTTTAAAGTAAAGGATTTTTTTGAATTACTTTTTGCCATTGGTAGTTAAAGTATCATGGTGACATACTATTTTTTATAATTGATGCTGTTGATTTTTAGTTCTTCACCTTTAGAACTAAGAGTACTTATGAAGCATAGTGAAGACTTTCTTGATTTTTGACTTCACTTCCTATTTGTTAAACTTATAATTGAGTTAAATATCCTTAGAAGTTAAGTACCTTCTCTCGGATGTTAGTCAGAAGCTTTTAGGTGGCAGAATGATGAAAGTCCTTGATATATGAATTGCTCAAACCAGCCTTTCCTAGATGTGAAAAATTTCTGATCTATTCTGAGAGTTTTGGCAGTTTCTTCTGCCTTTAATTATTTTGCCTGGCATGTGACAAGCCATCTTGTCTATAGACAATTTTCATTTTTACTGAGTTGTAGTGTAATCTTGAAGCCTTTTCATACGGTGATTAGAGATTTCAAATTTAAGTTAAAATTCAATTGAGAGTATTCCTGCCAATGCAGGTAACTCAGCGAAGTGATAATGAAATGGTTAACATGTGTAACATCTCTGCTTGGTGGCTGGCAGATTTCTTTAGACAGGGATTTTAAAACATCTTAATTTCAGAAAGATTAAAAAT